CTGATTTTGCAGGGTGCAGTTTTTTCCCTTGTCACTTAAGCCTTCCGCAGTGGGACAAACAGGAAAGAAAAATCTCTCCTTCTTTGTCCTTCCTAATTAGCAGTATATGGTCTTACTTTTGGTGCCGCATCCTTGCCATGGCATTTTTCAGTGATCTCTGCTGTGGACCACTCACTTCTTTCTTCTTCTGGTTAAACTCTATGAGGTGCCTAACTGAAAAAGTGCTGCAGCTACAACCTCCGACCTGAAAAGCAGGTCATTAAAATCTCATCTATGCAAGGGAGCTATTATCTTATTAAAAATGTAGGGATTTTGCAGCTTCAGAGCGCTCCCTCCCACACAAGAGGCATTAAGTGCTCTGCTGGCACCTTGCACAGCACAAGCCACTGCTTTTACTTGGGTACCTCTAGGCTGAGTCTCATGGTTTTGGTCAGAAATTGTCTTAGTCCTCAGGAGGTAAAATGAGATGTTCCAGAAACAAAACCTATTTCTATACCATTCTTTTGCCTTTTACCTACTGGAACGAAGTTGACTCTCCATAAAACCTCTGGCGAATCTCCAGTTTTCCAAAATTTAAGATCTAAAATTAGTGAATAGGAGAGCTCTTCAACTACTGGTCTTAATTCCCTGAGCATACATCACCCTGGACTTCTGAGTGGAAAGCATTTATATTTAGCAAGTAATGCCTCACGCGCTCCTCAGTTACAGATGGCAAGTTATTTCATCCAGCATGGGATGGATAGAATCTCCTACTTCATTCTGAAATAGAAAAAAAAGCAGGAATTACGAATATTTTTCTGGTTTTTTTTTCTATCTGACAGATGCAAGTGGTAAAATTGCAAACAGAGAACTCACTCCTAAATTATGATCCCTAATGCCATTTTAATGTCTTCTATCTTTAGCATGACTGAGCTTCTATTTCATCTATTTCTTTTGCCCTACATTTTCAATAATCTGTGTGCACTGTACATATTATTGATTAATATCTCTTCTGAATGTCTTCTAAATTCATAGATCTAGATGCATAATTCTTTCTCCATTGGAAACATTGCTCTGGTCTGAAAAAAATACTAATCCAACCTTTTAAATAAATATCTGTATTTGTGGCTGCAGCTAGAGCTCTAGATTTTTCTCACTCATTGAGAGTCAAGGTATAAGTGATGGGCTGCCACAGAGACATTTCATGTTTTGTAATGAGTATCTCCTCAAAACAGTGATTTTCAGCCATTGTACTGAGACCTGACCATTTCCAAAGAGTCCATGGAAATACACACACAGCATCCCAGGCACATAGCTCCTAGCAGCCACAGCCCACTGTCAGCTTTTCCCCACAGGCATCCCAACATTGGATGGATTGTCCAATGGGACTGGACTGTCCATACTTACATTTACATGAGTGGTGTTGTTTATGCGAGTGCTGCTAAAGGCAGTGCTCTGCCTGCAGGAGCCGGAGGGGCCAGCTGTATTAGCGTTGTGTGCACGCACCTCTCCAGAGTACACACTCAGCCTTGCTACTGATACTGACCACATGAGCACAGGGAAGGGCAGCCGCATCCATCGGCCTGGGATGGAGAGACTACCTGGGTCCCCAGGCACACTGGGGCGGGTTCTTGGAGCCAGGAAGGAGAAACTTCCAGCCCCGGAGTCTGCAGGATTCAGTGGCACCCATAACATCTTTAACAGCTTGGCCATTCACTTCACAGCCCTAATATTAAACACCCTTGTTCTCCTACATGGCTAACTGTTTGAGATTTAGAGGAAAACCATTCAAATTCAGCATGCAACTATTATATAGTCCCCTTGGTGGAACAGCATCTTCTTTATAAGCAATATCCTACTGCTATCTTGCAAGCAGGGATAGCAATATGTAAAATTATTGGGGCTTATTGAAAAAAAGACACAAAACCCACTAACCAGTAAAGATGCTGCATCCCAACACCAAGACACATGTATTTATACCAGCTGAACAGAGCATCCATAAAAATGGTAACGTTTGACCAAGTTTACATTGCAGGATTTTCTTGTGTGCCAGCCTAGAACTCCCCCAACACTACACCTTCACCAGTCATCCTACTGAATGCTGTTCTTGATTGTGCTGTCCCTCTCACTGGATCCATTACTTAAGAAAGCAAATGCAAAGCCTTGAGAGTTAAGAAAAAGAATATTATTCAGTAGTTACAACTTGCCATCAAGTGCTCAGCACAAAGAGGCAGACTGCTAGCTGAGCAGCTCCTACCAGTAACAGTGCAATAGAGCAATGGTAACATGGCAGAACTCTTGAAGAAAACACAACAGTGATTCAAGCTGCTTTCACACAGACTTCACTTGGATCAGCCAATGCGAGGACCAGTGACGTCAGTCGTTGTGTTACAAAGTTGTCACTGATGAATTTGAAGCCGGCCGCAATCGTTTTCAACACTTGGAAACAAAGGAACCATGGTTGAAAACCACAGGATTTCAGGTTCTTCAAATGCTTTCAGAGCTGGAAAGATAATTGTCCGCTCAGGTACCAGAGTGAGAATTAAAGTGCTTATACTATCATTTTGTGTGGTACTTTGAGCTGCTGTGGCTGTAATGCAATCACATAACTTCATTTAGTACCACTTTCAGACTGTTGCATAATGAATTCCAGTAAAGGCTGAAAACACTGAAAATGCAGCTCACAGCACACATCAATGCAGTCTCTGTTTCTCAATAGAACTAGATTAATTCAGAGAGCTTGCACCCTTGCCGTTTAACTTGTAACTGGCAAATAAAGTCGGAAAAGAAAGGTCTCGGGAAAGTTTGTTTTACCAGTTTTCATATGCGGATAGTTGCTTTTTTTAATGTGTTTATAGTTACTAAAGTTCAGTATGAAAAGTACTTACCAGTTTTTGTAATGGCATTGCAAGCTATTTATCTTGATAACTCACGTGAACTCTTGTGTCACCCTGACAGTAAAGCATAGCTTCTCTAGATTGCTTACTTCCGATCTGCTTTCAGAACTTCAGTGACCTTAATTTAAGATGCAAGTAAACTTAGTTTTCAACATGCTTACCAAAACAGAGGTAATAGACAAGATATTTCAGTTACAGATTTATCAAATAAAAGAAAGTTCTGATGCATTACAAATTTTTGACTGCTTTTTGACTGAAAGAGTCAACATCCAACATAACAGTAACAGAGGAACACTTAGCGCTCAAGTGACAGCTTCATGCTCAGTAAGCTTCATGCTTCAGTAAGCACAGCTAAATGCAAAGTCCACTGGAGGAAGAATAGCCCAAGCAAATGTCCAAATATACTATATTAAATATTGGAGTGAAACATGGATACAAACGGGATGGGAAAAGATAGATAGTTATGACAAACTTGAGCTGTCACTGACACTATAAAACCTGCTTTTTTGCCTTGAAGTGAGTGAACTCTCAGATAACATCAGGGCTGAGAGAGGCTGTCTGTAACCTGGTCCTCAGCACTGATTCCAAAAATGTTTGTTCCTATTCACCCCACTAATCTTTTAAATGACAGTGAGATTCAACCTCTTAGCACACTTAACACACTGAAAAATGTTAGTAATAAAATCTAGATAACTCATTCTCTCACAGCTAGAAGAATCTGCCAACTCATACAAAATCAGCATTTCAGAAGTGAAACATGAATTCCCATGCTACTTGCTCAACACGAAGAAACCCCAGCGGGTGTATGAAATACACGCTCGTTGTTTTAAGACAATGCAAGAGAGACAACATCCAACAGTACCGCAAAAACATCTAGGTTTAGTGAGGTAAAATGGGAGAAGCCAGGAATCTTTGGCACGTGTTTCAATTTAAGAAGTCCGTGTTTAAAAATAATGTTCAGCTTAAAAAAAGTTACCTGCAGTTTTAATTCCTGTTCTTTAATGTTAGTTATTCTGTGTGTGTCAGTAGCGATAACTGCTTGACTCTCAATACATTTTAATCGGCTATACTGTTCATCTGTACAGATGGAAGTTTCTTCACGTCCACTAGAAGAGTTCTGCTTAGGAATTTATGAACTGAAAAAAGTGAGATCCACTACCTTAAAGTGAGAAAAAAAGATGGATTATCTTTATAATTGTTATGTTCACATTGTTTGTTTTCAAAGCATTCAAAGAGTCTTCTCTGAAGTAGGTCCTAAAAAACACAGAAAGAAGTACTCCAAAAGAGAAATCATAACGAAACGCTGAAGTGAAATTTACTGTAGCAATGCTTCCCCCCCCCATCACTGCAGTTAGTTACTATTTATTTACATAACATTAAGATCTTCATGGAACAGAGTAACTTCACTCTTGCTTCTGAGCACCTTCCAGTCATTTATCTAATAATACAACAAATATAAGTTTAGGCTAGAAATTTCAAACTAGTCTAAACAAGGTGCCTAGATCATCTTTACCTGATTACAATGGCATCTTCTGCATACTGAATATTCTGAATTCTTATTTAGACTTAAGAGTTGCGAGTCCTCTATTTGGCATCTTAAATTGGTCAGCATCTTAGGTTCAAATGAAAGATGACTATCCATAATATAGTCAAATGTACATTGCTGTATACAACATTTGCATGCTGCATCCTAATCCACGTCCAAAACGTGCTTTAGACAACCCTTTGCTTTGCAGTCTAGAAACAGGAGATATTAATAACCATTTTGTGCAACTATCATGAACACATCTACTGGTTTAGACGATAGTAGTCTGCTCTACAGGTCAATCATCTAAAGACTTTTGGCATCCTGAAGTATACTTAAATTCCCTAATGAATGAAAGGTTAGTATGATACCTCTCATTTATCAGGTGTCCCAGAGCATCCACGGGAACAGCTTTTGCAGAGCTGCTGGCACAGTTACACGTTCTACATTCAGAAGAAGTGAGTTGTGCCCAGAAGGACCAACTTCTCTCCATTCAGAACAAAGGGTATCTAAATGACACGCTGTCACAGTCCAGGTTTGCCGGGCGGCCACACCGGAGGAAAAACGTTACTCTCCCTCACAAGAAAGTTCTTTATTTGATCGAAACAGGTTTGAACCAAAGGATAGGTTCGGGTGGCAGTATAGGAATTCTTACATTTACGAACGATTTACAACTCTTATTTATAACACTTTTTAATTAACAATACAACACAATACAAACAATGTAATATATTAAGCTATTTACAGATACGTACATGAAGCTTCAAGTAAGTAACACAAATGAACTAACAGGGAACATAGAACAGGAATATAGGAAGGGTACCCCGATGTCGTGTGAAGCGGCACCAGTTGATAAGGCAAAGTCCTTAACAGAACCCCGCCTATAGCTGTCTCAGCGCAGTACAGGACCGTACTGTACCCGGCCACACCGGCGGGTGTGCCAGTTCCCGGCTTAACACCATAATAGCTTATGTGTCCACGACGACTTGAAGGATCCTGAGTACAAGAGGACCCAGCGTCCCGAGCCTAGGGGCAGGGCAGGTGTTCCAGAGATGTTGCTCCTCCGCTTCGGCAGTGGCCTGCTGCTTCAGCGTCAGATGGTCCGGCAGGTCTTCAGATAGAGAAAGAGCCTTGATCTAACCTTCTAACCTTGAAGAAGGCCGCTCAGCTTCTCCACTCCTGGCACGTGGATCTTTGTGATTTCAGTAGTTTTCTAAAAGAAGCCAAAGCTTTGGGCACTGCTGCTTTTGTGCCCAAGACACCCTGTGCACGCAGCCATCAGCTACGTTTGTGGTTGGTCCTGTTTTGAATTCTGGCTTTGATTGGATTAATTTTTGATCCTTCATTTGAATATTCCAGAACCTTCTTTTGATTGACAGCAGCAGCTGCCACAAGCACAGGGTATCTCTCCATCTATGATTTTAAAGCAGTGTGGCGGGAAGCCTGTCTTGCTTGACCAGGGTCGTATGGAGGTCACCCATATATTCCTATGCAGCATTCAAAACTTTAACCTTTCAGACCATAACACATGCTCAGGTATAGAGGTCAGCAATGTAATATCTGAAGTCAAATGAGATGCATCCTGCCCAGGAGTACCACGCATCATTTGTGTAGCTTACCTAACCTTAAAGCTTACTCAGGTTGTTTCTCAAGTTCTTCTTGCAGCTCCATACGCCGCCATATGTAACTCCTTCCTTTCCCCCCCCCCCAAGAAAAGGCATATGCTACCAAGTCAACAAGTACTTCCTCCTCAAGTTATTAATACTTACATCTTAAAAAAAATACTTTTGGGAATACCTTACCTATTGCTCAGAAAGACAATTTTATTATGACTGTTACCATCACAATAACCAACTTTTAAATCTGCAGCTCAGCACTGGTCCTCGCTACTTGATTGTTCAGCATCCTCTCATAAACTCTTTGCCTGTGTCTGAATTAGACTTTGGCCTGAGTTGGGCCCTCTGTAGCGTCATAACCCTCAGCTATTCCAAGAGACTGTGGCTGATATTAGCCAGCGTCAACAAAATTACATTGTTTTGAATAAAGATGAATGCCTCTAATTATAATGGACCTTACATACAGTTAAGCCAAGTATATGATGCTCATTTGCCAGTTTTCCATTTTTTAGATGCCAAAACATTCTCTGCAACTAGGAAAATGAGGGATGATATAACTCTAGGTTATAACAGGAATAAACAGAAATCTCCTTGTCCAGAGTTCCAAAATTCTCTTTAGATTTCCCATCTTCCCCGTTCTATCCAAGAATGACACCTATACTTAAAAGTAGGGCAAGTCAGATAGAAATTTTAAGTAAATGAGATTTGCCTAACTGACACACAGATTTACAAAAATGAACACAAACAAATTAGAACAATAAGAAGGCTAATACACATAAATTTTTACTTTATGGACTTCTCTGTCTTCACATTCTCTTTGCTTATTGTAATAATAGAAAGTATTGTCCCTTCTCTGAAGTTTCTTAACAAATCCAGTTTCTGGCCAACACTCTACCTAGGAATAGAATAAAAAGGATATACATTCACCTGAACATGCTCACACTGAATTACGTTTGTGTATTATATATACAGCATATACTTCCATGGAACAACTTCATTTGCATCTGAACACTGCTTTACTATTAATTTAATTAACTTTTAATAAAGATTAAGAGCAAGATGTCAGAAACCAGTTTCCTTGTCTAGTATAAAACACTGTGATCAGAAAAGTCTAGAAATAAGGACCTAAGACTATCTAATAGACTTGAGTCATTTAGAAGTGGACTAGTCAAAGCTTTTAAAATATGCTGTGTTGGAATAAAACATCAGTTTTTCAGTAATTTGAGAAGCTAGACGATTCCACTTGTAAAAGACTGACTGACATTTAAAGGTTTCTTCAGGATTCTCTCATCAGGAAAATGTACACATCATGCATTTCATTAGCAGCCTGGGAAAAATAAAGCGATCCTGGGAAGTTTGAACACAACTCAGGCTAATTTTTACCTAGAATAAGTGGTGTTCCTTAACTTGTTCCTTAACTATGTATCAGTCAGAGTTTACAGCCTGCCATAAATCTTAACCAGACTTACTCTACCACTCTAACTACCGGATTTCCTTTTGCACTGTTAAAAGGTTTTGCGCTACAGCCTTTACTGTGGTACCTAAGCCCAAGACAAAAGAATTAACTGCATCTTATTTTGCACATGTACATGTTACTGTTTTAAGTTAATTAGATAAGGAGTGATTTTCTTAGGAATACTGCACCCATGTGCACAAGATGCTAAGATCTTTTAAAGGTGGATTTGAGAGACTAAATGTTGGTTTGGGAAATGAACTACACAACAACGCCCTTTACCACAACCTGCATCAGATGTTTTTATTGTGGGCAGTTTCAATAGAAGCCAAATTCTGAGGTTACATAAAGTCAAATTACGCTACCCCACAATTCAGTTGTAAAATTGAAGTTAGTAGCAATGAGACAGGACAGCAGGACTGAGTCCCTGGATACTGAACCACCTTCTTATCAGGTCTGTCGGCAAAGTAACAGGGAAAGTTTATAGAAAACTTCCTCTTATATATTCCTTTCCTCAGCACTGAATTATTCTTTCAGATGGCAGCTACATCCACTCAAAGAAATATATATAATGCTTCTAAATGTAGAAGCCAGAGAGGGAACAAAAACACAGGTTGGCTAGTGTTTCCTTTTCATTTCTGTGAAACAAGCTACTCTGCACAGTTAATAGCTGAAGAATTCAAGTCAAATTTGGGGAGAATATGTATCAGAAACCAGCTTAAAAGAAAGGAAATAAGAGGTACTTCCAAGTTTATTTAATCACTTAGCACAAAACAAAGAAGTTTTAAAGTAATAACCCCTGCAGAATTCTAAATCTTACCATATCAACTTGCTTTACTTGCTTATATTCAACTTCATCTCTGTATCCGGCTTGCTGAAATCTGTACAAGTTCTCTACCTCATCTGACCATTTTTTGGCATGACATATAGATTTTGGTTTGATGTCAGCTCTAGCCATGACTCCAGAAGTTTCAGACTTTTTCCTGAAATTAGATTTTTCAAAATGAAGTAGCAAACCATTTTGTTCAGGTCAGATACAAATGGGCAGATCAAAATTGAAAAATAGAGTAAGGAAAGTACAGATAGCACAATAATACCTTCCCTCAAAGGCTGAGATAAAACCCCAAAACACATTATAAGAAGTTAGAAACAGATTAAATGCACTAGCTGATCTCAAACAAACCCAAGCCACCTGTACTTCTATTTGTAGAAACAGAAACTATTATCATAGTTTTGCCACTTTATGTTGCCTAAAATTCATTTCAGCAGAGCGATGCATTAAAAATATAGAGAGAGGTTTCCTTTTTTTTTTTTTTTTAATTTCACATCTCCGATTTACTGCCCCTTCTCTTGACTCCTTGGGGTAGGCAGCTCATCGAGTTTCTTTTCCTTCCTACTGACAGGAAGCCAAACTGGGCACAAAATGAAGAACTGGGCTGCTACTGAAGAACAGCAAACACTCAGGATGGAAAAGGAAAGATGGAAATGTACTGCCAGGCACATGCACATGGCAACAGTGGAGAGGACAAGGAAGAGCTCTCAAGAATTATGTTGGACGGAGCTAAGGAAGAAAGGCGCACGATCTACCAAAACTCGTCTTAGTCTACGTTTGTCCATTCAAGAATCTGTACTGACTTCCTCTATACTCCTTCTCCCTGCACAAAGCCCCATGTGATTTTGTTCAAACATGCTAAGAAATGGTAAATAAGTTAATCAATTGCTAAACCTGAACCAGAGCAGAACTAGGACTAGTTCAGTCACAGATAAAATCCAAACTGCGAAAGAATAAAACAATTAAAAAAACATTCCGAGAAGTCGATGGAAACACACTAGGGATGGATCTGAACCATACTTCCAAAAAACATAAATCTGTTGTCTTTTATCTCATATCTGAATTTCAGTTGAGCATATCTTACTCTGCTGCTAAAAATTAAACTTTGAATCGCTTCAGCAAGGAAAATACACAAAATGCTATGTTATCTTGCCAGTATGATCGGAAATGAGTCCTCTTCTAGTTATGTAGTGTCACCAAGCTTCAGCTCAGTAACTAGAAAAGGTATCTCCCAGAAAGGGAAAAAAGGCTTCTAGATTTTGTATTAAGGGAATGAACACAGTCTTCCTCCCCCCACTTAAGTTGCCTCCAAATTCTGTGCTCAGGTAAAATTCCTTACTTGGAAAGTTCCTACAGCAATTGAGAGCTTGAAAAGTTGAATGTTTATGTCTTATCAAATGCATAAATGCTTTTAGTTTGTTTTAAGGGCAGAAAAGAAATTATACTCTAGCATACAATACATTGGGAAAAATGATATCAGGAATTACTTTTATCGTAACATGGAAACAGCAGAGGTCTGCCCCTTTTGTCTAACATAAGAGCCATTAGGAAACAAAAAAAAAAAAGGGCCTTTCCTCTCTTACCACATATACTTTATTAAAGATAATAAAAAAGATGCACATGAAGGCTCTCTTCTGGCAACACTCAACTGTTTCTTGCAGTTCTGTCCTCCAAATCTTCTTTTTACCAGGCTCTGCAGTCTTACTGGCATTTTGTAATTGAAAGCAGCCATTGACTAAAAAGGTCGTTTTCCCACCCAGTTATGAGGTGTCATGTGCAAACTAGTATGTTTAGCATACATCTGTACTATAAATAGTGCAGTCTTGAAGGGATTTGCCTCAATATTGTTTTTTCCTCCCTTGCTGCAAAGAACCCTCTTGTAACTATTATAGAATTCTTCATATAAAAAAAGTCTACAGCATATGAAGACTGTTGTCAACCTGGGACTCAAGACAGACTGAAAAACTACTAGTAAACTAATAATTAGTAGTAGTAACATTAGATCTTAATAAATGCTAAACTACTATGACTTTGTAAGCATCTTATGGCAACTTACATGTTACTAGGGTTATGTACTTCTGTACAGGATGTACTGAATTCATCTAATGAATGTGCTCCTTCAATCCATCTAGATATGCCTGGCAGTTCCTGACTGACCATTAATTCAGATGGCCTGTACACAGGCGTTCCTGCCCAAAAATATATGTAAAATAAAGGTCACATATTTAAAATGCCAGCTTAGTGCCTTGAAATATTAAAGTAGCCATGCTGATATTTTCATGCACTATTTAAACTATATATTATATATATATATATAAACTGCCTACCTATATTCTGTATGAGGGTGCTCTCTATTCTGTGTGCATACGTATGCTTCACTAGCAAACCTCAAGCTGGACTAGCCTAGTGAGTAGGAAGAAACCAGCATCTGAAATAACAGAACGTCTGAGGTGGTGGTGCATGGATAAGGGATCTGGGCATAGGTATTAGCCAGACTTGAAGCCCATACTAATATTCAACAGATTCATGGATGTGGAGGTATGTGAATCAAGAGAGTGAGCGGGAGCATGGTTCACTAGGGAAACTCAGTCCTGATCAGCTGGAGAGGGAGAATAGTGTCAACCGTCTGTGTTATGCATGTTTATGCGAGTGCTGTTTGTGTTTAGGCGGGTGCTGGTAAAGGCACTGCTTTCAGTCTCTGTTGGTCTGGGTGGCCAGCCATGTGTGCAGTGTGTGTGTGTCTGTGTACCTACTGGGAATACATACTCAGCCTGGCTACTTGCTGGAAAGGGAAAAGCAGCAGCCTGCACCTATGGACTGGGACAGGAGAACTCTGAATCCTGAAGTGTTCCAAATTTGGCTTCCCTCTAACCATAATAAGCACCCCCAAGAGCTGAGCAACTAGAAGCAGCTCACTACTTACTTATTTCAAGTTCTTGAAATGGTGCAACATTCCTGTCTCACCAAATCAGCTGTCCCACAATGCTGCTTTTCTTTATCTTCTTTCCCCACTCCTGTTTCCTTAAAATTCACAAAGGAAAAGAGCATGTTTTCTACAAAATAGGACTCTGCTTAAACACTCACCACCAACAGCAGAGAGACAAAACAACCTGCCCAGAATACAATGTCTTGCCTTGCTCTCACATAGAGATTAGTGGTGCCTATAGACCAAGAAGGAGCACGGCTCCCGTTGCCCCAGCAATGACATCCTAAGAAGGGCAAGTCCTGAAGAGCCTACAGGTTAAGGGCAGGCAGGCTTACTAGCCAGCCAAAACCCAACCACTGCCGTTCCTGCCCAGCCTCACATAAACAAGGGTTGTTTTAAAGACCCATGAAAGAAAGAACGTATAACAGGAATGTTCTCCCCTTTCTATGTGCAGAGCCTTCAGACAGGAAGAAGGCAACACTACGGCCTTACCGTGTCCCTCACAAACACAGGGTGCGCAGAGGCAGAGCTAAGAATGGCAGCAGGAGTCTCCCCAGCTCCGACAGCCCTAGGCTGGAGCTGCGAGAGGAGGCACTGTCCCAGTACAAACGTGGCCATGACCACAAGCCCGAGTCCCTACCCCTCCACCACGACCATTATCCTCAGCTTCACCACCGTGACATCAATGCCCAGCCCACCATCATGACTGCAACCCTGACTCCAGCCTCCTCACTATGACTGCCTGCTCCTGTCCTACTGCAATAACCCCCAGCTTCTGCCCTCTCACCAAGATCATGTCCTCATCCCGCGTCCCCATAGCCTCTGCCCTAATCCCATGACAACTTCCAGGCCTGCTACCATCTCAGCCGCAACCCCAACATCCAGACCACCATCATGACCACAACCCCCAAACCTTGCCCCAATCCCCAGGACCATCACCATGACCTCAGGACCACCACCATGACAACCACCCCAACCCCATCACTGTGACCACAACCCCCAGCCCCTACCCCACAGCGGCAAGTCCAACCCTGGCCCCACTGTCAGGGCTGGGTTTCCAGCCCCTGCCCCACTGTTGTGGCCCTGGCACTGGACCCACC